GAAAACTGGTCTTCATCTAATAATCATCTCCCTGATTGGTGAGTCTATGATACTAGAGAGTAATGTTCATTCTGACAATGTTGGAATCACTACATGACAGACATCCTCTCTCTACAGGATGCACGGATACCCTTTCTGACCATTTCCTCTCCCAATTCCCTGAGGAAACTGTCACCTTTGATATCACCTGAGTCAAACAGCCCCACCCAAGTCCACCTGAACTTCAGCAATAACTTCACCACACCCAGGGACAGAGAGGCCATCTGACACATGGAAACTGAGGGGCAGAGCCAAAGAACCATAAGTGATCTCAATTAAGAGAGAAAAGAGCCCAGTTTGCAACCAGTGCTTATCATACCAGGGGGAACACTGCTGGGCAGTAGCCTCACTCATCAGTCACCCGTCCAATGTAGGAAGAAAAGTTATGTGTATATTCAGCATCAAGCACTAAGAGATGCCCAGGGTTGTAAGAGAGGTACAAGGTCCATTAAATACCTTTTCCAAGAGCCCAGCGTTTTGTGTTTTAATAAATGTGCTGATATTATCAATTTCTAGAGTGTCTTGAAGAATCCTCACATTTTGGTTTCAGGAGTTTCTGTACGATAGCACGAGTAATTTTTCTGTTTCTACCGTAGTCTGAGCATAGCAAGTGCCCCAACGGAGGTGAGGGACCCTACAGTGTCTATTCACCACCAGCTGTAGGGACCCCTTCCTCAGCCTGGAAAGTATGTCCTTCGATTATATTACCAGTGACTTGTTTTTTCACATTACCTTCTTTGTCAGTCACTAAGTTAGCCACAGCGGAGGAGGGAAGTCTCTTGAATTTTGCGTAAAACTTTAGTTTGGAGGCCTCCAAATGGTTTTGTATTTTGTGGGATCAGAGGGCCAAGGTTAATACCATCAGGTCTGAGGTGCTGGTATGTGTCTCAGAAATTTGGGTCCATTTATCACCCTAAGCAATGACATGAGCTGCTGCAAGTTAAGGTTTAATATGTGCAGAGTGAAGAGTGACCTGGTTTGTGCCTGAGCGTTGGGAGGCATGATATTCCCGGTGTCCTGTATACCATAAGGGCCACCTTAGCTAAGGAGTTGTTAGTGTTGGGATGAGACAGCTAGTGGTTGGTAATGACAAAGGATCTGTAAAAATATACACGAGCTCAATTCTTGTACAGGAAATTTTCTATTGTTAGCATGATTGTCTGTAGTTTGACTAATCGATCTCATGCTTGGGTCCAATCTTTGATTAAAGATAGCCTGTTTGATCTAGGAAAAGAACGCAGCATCTCTGCAGTGGACCCCTTCAGGTGTCATGGCAGCACACTCTCTATAAAGTATATGAACATGCTGGCTACTCTGTGCTCCCAGGTGACTCCCCAAGTGGCCATTGTGCCTGAAAAGGAAGTGACTTCCTCCACATGGATTCTATCAATGAGAGGAGAGGGGAACACACTTCCTCCTCTAAGTAGGATATGCCAGAAGCACCAATTTTGGCTCCATCCTCTAAGTACCCACATTTCTTCAATGAAACGTCCTCTGATTAGCAAGCCTGAGGGGTCCTGCATTCATGGCCCAAGGCAACAGAAGTCGTTTGCAGTGGAAGAGGGTCAACTCCGTCCCTGGGAGAGCTTCTATTTACAAAAAATTCTGTCAGTTTCCAGCAGTGGCTTTTCTAATGGTGTGCAGCACTAGACAAGAATAATTTCAGTGCAAGAATGCCTCGGGCAACTTACGTCCACTGTGAGAGGTTTAGAGACTCTGGATGCATAACAGGAGGCTACTACAGCCTTTATGGGAAAGGAGTGTGTGAAGGGAGACGCTAACGGAGGGACGGCTATCTCAAAAAAGTTCTAGAGCCCTTTGGTTCCCAATTAAATTCAGTCAATTTCTAAGTGTTGTATGAATAAGTAAGCAAGCAGATCTGATAAATATGGGATGTTGTGGTCACTGTGGCTGACAGAATGTGCCCATGACATGGGTTCTATCACTGCTTCTGTCACCCTCTCAGCTCACAGGCCCTTCATGTTGCCTCAGAGAAATTTTCCAGAGTGGGACATGCATAGATTTGTAAAGATGTTTCCCAGGAAGCAGGCACAGAGTAGTCTTGATGTGGGAAGTGAACAGCTGGAAGTGGTCCATTCACGGCAATGAGAAAAAATGATGCTGATGCATATGAATGAGGATGTCCCCAGGCAGATCCCTCCTGGACACACTTTTATGTTTTAGAAGCACAGTATTTCTACAGATGTGTCCACAGAACCTGATTTAAACTCAAAGATTCTGGGAGCCCTCTCACTTCACTCCTGTTATGAGTATGAGCTGAGGGCAGGTGCAACCCTAGGGGGTGTTTTCTCAATGAAGACAGGGTTGCAAGAAAGTCCTGTTGAGGTCTGAGTCCTTCTTGCCCAGTCCCTCAATTCTTCCTAAGAAGGATCCATAGTGGTGGAAAGAAGATTTGAGCACATAAAAATCAACATTCAAGAGAGCTTTACATTTTCCTAGCATATGAGAGCAGTTATATTATTCATTTCCCAGTAATTATATACATAACATGTATATAAAATATTTTAAGTGCACTCATGAGTTTTCTCAAATGTATAGAAATTCTGCCATTAAAAGTTGAAAAACAGGGGCCAGCTCCGTGGCCGAGTGGTTAAGTTTGCACGCTCTGCTGCGGTGGCCCAGGTTTCAGATCCTGGGCGTGGACATGGCACCGCTTGTCAGGCCACATTGAGGCGGTGTCCCATATCCCACAATTAGAAGGACCTACAACTAAGATATACAACTATGTACTGGAGGGATTTGGGGAGAAAAAGCAGAAAAAGAAAAAAAAAAGGAAGAAGATAGGCAACAGTTGTTAGCTCAGATGCCAATCTTTAAAAAAAAAAAAGATGAAAACCACACTATCACTCTAAAAGAAAGCTCCTGTGGTCCCCATTTGAATGAAACCCCTCCAATACATAAGTTAACACTAAAAAGTACCATGGAAAACATTCCATTTCCTTCACTGTTTTAAACCTTGACGCTGTGACTGCTGTTTCCCACCTTTCCACAGCATGTGCTGGACATCTAAGCACATGGAAAGGAAACCTGTGATCAGCTGCCTGGGCTCTGGGGCTTTGTAGATCATTGAAATTAAAGACTTCCAGCCACTCCTGTGATGAAAAGAGGTTGAAAATTTCCCATTTCTCCTTTTATACTTAATTAGGGTATTACTTAAAATAATATCCCTGCAGCTCACCTCAATTATTCCTGAGATGATCACCTCTAAACAACAGCAATGACGTCCTCACTCACTCCTGCCCTCATAGAAAAGACAGATACACCTCAGCCTCCCTATTAACGCAATGTTATTTTTTACTTTCCTTCTTATCTCTAACTTATACACAAAGATTTACCACTTGTTAATCATCTCTCTTTTCCCACAAATATATAAGCACCAGGACTATAAAAACTCATTTGTTTCAAGCACTATACCCAAATCCAACCGTGTCTTATTTCTGCTAAGTTGGGTACACTGACTCTACAGTGCATGTCATGTGAGGGAAGTTGAAACATGAGCACCAACAGAATAGTCTCTGAGAAAGAAAAGCTTGATTGGCATAGTGGTCCTGTCTCTCTCCCTTGCTAGGTTTGTATTGTCTCACAATTCACCTAGACTCAAAGGCCTCAGCTAAGTCAAAAAGGAAACATTAAAAATACTATATAGGGTCCCGCCCAGTGGCACAGCAGTTAAGTGTGCATGTTCTGCTTCTCGGCAGCCCGGGGTTCACCTGTTCGGATCCCAGTGTGGACATGGCACCGCTTGGCACGCCATGCTGTGGTAGGCGTCCCACATATAAAGTAGAGGAAGATGGGCACAGATGTTAGCTCAGGGCTAATCTTCCTCAAAAAAAAAAAATATATATATATATATAGGGGCCGGCCCAGTGGAGTTGTACTTAAGTGTGCGGCTCTACTTCAGCAGCCCGTGGTTCAGAGGTTTGGATCCCGGGTGTGGACCTACACACCACTTATCAATCCATGCTGTGGTGGCAGCCGACATACAAGAGAGGAAGACTGGCACAGAGGTTAGCTCAGCAACAACCTTCCTCACCAAAAAATATATATGTATTATGTAGTATACTAAGAAGTGAATTTATTTATTTTACCTGAGGTGCTTTATAGTAAACAGTGTCTAATACACCACAGGAAATACGCCAGTGTTTTGATAATAAGTAGGAAAGGCAAAGCTGTTCCAGATGACCGGGAGCTGGCAGCATCCACTGCAAGGCCAAGTCTTACCCTGCTGAAGAGACAAATGTCACACACCTCCTTCATTAAATGAACACAGTCACCAAGAAAACACTAAAATATTTTGTAACCACACCAGTAAAAATGGTAAAAGATAAAATTCCAAACGATAAAAATGATTAATATTTCCTTCTTCTTCCTAAAATGATAGACTGGAACTGCTTATAAATTAACTTTAACTCCACTAGTGTTTTTGCCTTCTAGAAAACAATGATTAGGTTTACTAATGATAAAATGTTTACCAGAGATAGAATTAAGTTGACCTCCTACAGCATTCAATACAGAAAACAACTTGCTTCCTTGAATAACAACCAAATCCACAAACACAGGCCAAAATCTTGTAAGCAGTCCTTCGAGCAGCCTGCTACTGTTACAGCTCACAGTCCTCTGCGGTCTGTGGTCATTCTCACTAGAATTCCTTACACCCCTCTCTATGAGTATGAGTGCAATCCTACAGGTCAGTGGCAAGAGGACCCTGAGAAAAAGATGATTTTTAAGTTTTGGGTTAAGAATGAATGAGAAATTAGTTTCATGACAAAAATTGCAACTATAGAAAATAAAAAATAAAGTTAACCTGAGGAAAGAATACTTGAATTTATATGCAAAGGAAAAAATTAAATCATAATACAAAATGATTAAATGAAGAAAATTGCAAAGTATGTCTGAAAATCCATAACTAAAATGGATTTTAATATATTCTGAGAAAATGATAATAACAATAAAGTTTATTAGCATATGATGGATTAGAAAAGAGTTGATAAAACACGTCAATGAAACAACTACAGATGTGTTCATTTCACAAGGAAATACAGTTCTAATGACAGACAATCAAACATTATTGAAAACATATTGAGGGAATATGTTCAGCTACAAGTAACAGGAAACACAGTCTTCCTGACATGAGAAAGGCAACTGTTTTCACATGAAAGAACTGGGTCAAGGCAGCTGATGCACAATGCAGAAGAGAAACAAACTCCTATGTCCTTTTTGTGCCCCATTGTAGATGTCATGGTGAATCAGGAAAACAAGCTCACTAGCACTATTAACAGTATAAGGTGTTTCCTATACAAATTTGACCTATTTCAGATACCATCTAGAGAAGAGGGGAATCAGAGAATACTCACAAGCAAAAAAGTCTCAATTAGTTTCCCGGTGGACACAAGAGGTCTCACAGAATTATTCTAACTCTAATGGATATTTGGTGTGAAAATTGTGAAAACATCAGTGGAAAATACACCCCTGAGTAAATGGAAATCAAACAGTTGGTGGTGATTTTCAAGATACTCTTGACTAGAATAGCGAAGAATCCAGAGAATGGGATGTAAGATGGTGTCCCCAAAGCTCCTGTGTAACTGTCTGTCTCCTTGTACGGTGGCTCCAGAATCTGCCTAATGCCTTGTTTGCTTCTGCCTTCCAAATCTCATGCAAGTGAGGCTATTGGGGAATTCCAACATGGAACCATAAAGGGGGTGGATTCTTAAAGATTTAGTTCTTTATTTTACCCTCACTGACAGGGGTGATGTGTCCAGCTCTAGATTTTGTTGCCCTATCACAGGCCTCGACTCAATTCAGTCTCTTCACCAGATAACACTCAGAAGGAAGGAGAAAGAGCAAAGAACCACATTTGAAAATAAGAATTAACAGAAAAGTATACTCTTTGATAAACTTCCCATACATAAAAATTTATTCAACTATTTAATAGTGTGGAAAATGAAAACAGGATCCTATACTCACCACCCCCAAAAAAGGAGCTTTCTCTAAGAAATGTACAATACATACAACAGATTAGGCATATTCTGGAACTGTAATACAATGCCAATAAAAAAATCCTGACAACTACAAACTACCATTTTTCAATGGCCCCTTAACACAGAACAATTAAAACATCTTAAAACAATTAAAGAGAAAATATTATTAACTGATTTAAGAAAAGAGCACCACATATTAATCTTTATGTAGTATTGATGAAGGATGACTTTCAGAATTTTCTCACCTCAATATTCATTTCTGAAATGTATTAATAGAAATCTACAATCCAATGTTGCACTTTAAGAAAGAAGCTTGGTAAACACAATATATTTACAACTTTTATAACAACTCTTTCATGTTGAAAGTTTTCTAGAACATCATATACAAATTAATTTCCATCAAGTTTTCTCATATGACTTACATTTATTATTTCTTTTTGGCGGGAGTTTCACATAGAAGGATGTAGGCCAATTGAAGTGTTTCCCATGATGTTTACATTCAAGAGGGTTTTATCAAGTGAGTCCTTTCATGCCTTCAGAAAGAGGTGGGATGACAAGAGCCTTTCCTACATTCTTTACATGATTTTTCCTCTAGTGTGCATTCTCACATATCTTCAAAAGTTTTCACGAGAAATAAATAAAGGCTTCCCCGTTTTACTGACATTCATAGTATTTCTCTCCATCGTGACTTCATTCATGTCTTGGAAATGAACTGGGAAAACTAAATGCTTTGTGACTTTTGTACATTCGTAGTTTCTATCTAGTATGCTTTCTTTCATGTTTTTGGAGAGAACTGGAAGAAGCAAATGCTCTACTGTATCTTTTAAACTCATAAGGTTTCACTCCAGCATGAGTTCTTTCATGTTTTCGAAGAGAACTGGAAGAAGTGAATGCTTTATTGCATTTATTACATTCATAGGGTTTCTCTCCGGTGTGATTTCTTTCATGTAGTCGAAGAGAACTGCAAGAACTGAATGCTTTACTGCATTTTTTACATTCATAGGGTTTCTCTCCAGTATGAGTTCTTCCGTGTTTTTGAAGAGAACAGGAAGAAGTGAATGCTTTAGTGCATTTTTTACATTCATAGGGTTTCTCTCCAGTGTGAGTTCTTTCATGCTTTCGAAGAGAATAGGAAAAACGGAAGGATTTACCGCATATTTTACATTCAAATGGTTTCTCTCCAGTATGAATTCTTTCATGTATTCGAAATGCACTGGGAGAAATGAATGCTTTATTGCAGTCCTTGCATTTGTACGGTCCATCTCCAGTGTGAGAGATCATGTGTGATCGAAGGCTCGAGGGAGTTTTAAAGGCTTTCCCACATTCCTTACACTCATAGGGCTTCTCTCCAGTATGAATTCTTTCATGTACTTGAACGCTGCAAGAAAAACTGAAGGCTTTACCACATATTTTACATTCATAAGGTTTCTCTCCAGTATGAGTTCTTTCATGTATTTGAACATTACTGGGAAAACTGAAGGCTTTACCACATATTTTACATTCAAAGGGTTTCTTTCCAGTATGAATTCTTTCATGCTTTTGGAGTGAACTGGGAGAAATGAATGCCTTACTGCAACTTTTACATTCATAGGGTTTCTCTCCAGTATGAGTTCTTTCATGTATTCGAAGAGAACTGGGAAAAGTGAAGGCTTTCCCACATTCCTTACATTTATATGGCTTCTCTCCATAGTTTTGATACTCATATGGTTTGTAGTCAGTGTGACGTCTAATGTGCCTGTTAAGCGATGAATGATGCATGAAGACTTTTCCACATACACTGCACTCACATGGTTTTGCTCCTGTAGTTTTCTTGTTCAGATTCAGATTTGGAATAAGGCTGAAGTCTTCTCTACATTGACTATGCTCTTCATTTTCACAGAGTCTAACTACTATATGACTTCTGTAAAAAATTGGAAGCACATTATTAATGCTTTCTTCATTAATGATTTTATATATGTATTACAATTTACAGGAAAAGTTTAGGCTTTCTGTCTTGTCTGAATGCTCAGAAATTGAATATACTGAATGCTCTGCAAGAGGACTTCACCTTTGTTAGTATCCAAACAGTGATATTCAAATATAGGGTTTACTAATACATTTCCAAGTGAACTCTTTTATAAAAACTGAACCTCTAAATCACATTTCAGAAAGTTTATTTGGTGAAATCTTCTAAGAATAGCTAAATTTGAAGCAAGAATTGTTTTGCTTCTTTTTAAAATTTCATAAAATACCAGGATTCTCACAAGAGACACTGCCATCTATTGTGAGTGTGACTCACCTTAGTTTTCTCCCCTGGTTTTTGTACTCATCTTCAATATCATGATGTTCCCATGTTTTTGCTGAAACAAAGACCCAGAAAATTGATTCCAAAGTATTAGAAATTATAAAAAACAATCAGATTCTAAGTCCACAATGAGCTATGACCATTCCTAGTTTATTTACCTACATCTCCTGTTTTCACATTCTACATCTTGGAACCATGTTGAAGGCCAGAAACACTTGTTCTCTCATTGATGCAGTGAAGGAATGTCCTCGTTCTTACCTACTGAGGCCAGGTGCCTGAAGGTTTCCCACATCACGTCTCTGTAGAGTTTCTTCTGCGAAGGATCCAGTATAGCCCACTCCTCTGGGGTGAAGCTCACAGCCACGTCCTCAATGGCCACTGAGTCCTAAAACACCACAAATGTGTGTAGAGTAGGATGCATGAGCCTGACAGCAGTGAGGACCTATAGTCCCTTTGTATGAATGTTACATATGGTTCTGTCATCTCCTAACATTTATTCTATGACATCATCATAAAAAACTCATCATTTTCCTGCACATACTTCACCATCAATTTAACAGCATCAACACATGGAAATTATTTACACATTTTTACTTGATCACATTACACGTTATTTCTCTCTAATGGCAGGGTGCAGAGCATGTTTGGAAATGAAAGAAATACTATACACATGAACCAAATATTATCCTTTTAAAACTGATTATTCCTTGTTAGAAAAATTCTTTCTTTGTCTTTCCTATTACCCACCAGTTACTGCACTCCATGAGGTGTTAAATCTGCATGAGGTTTGAATGGATAAAAGCATAGTGAAGAACTGGAAGCTTTTTTTTTTTTCTGGTCCCATCATCAAAGAGAAGTCCAAGAGGCCTGTAGAAATCAAACTTTTAACAAAGCCCAGCTGGCCACATTGTCCTAAAGTACTCCAGGCCATCATTACAAGTAAGCAGGTGCAGCTGGCTAAATGTAAATACACTTGTGGGGAAGCACTGCTTTTCACTTGTGCAATATTTATCAGACTCTGCTCTTCCTTTCCCTCTTTGATTTGATGGGACTAGGAGGTTACTCGGAACTTAGAGCACAGACACAAGGGAGAAGTCATGACACCACTGACCAAAGAAATCCCTAAATTCATGTGCCTCAAGGCTACTTCTCACCAATTTTTAGAACACACAGTGAGATAATAATGTGCCATAAGAGCTCTTTCAGGTCAAACAGTAACAGTGTACCCTGGGTCATCCTGGCCTTGAGGGGGAGGTTTATAGATGCAGATTGCAGAGTGTTCACAATGGTTTGATGGTAAATCTGCCCATGATTATAACATATGTGAAGGATTCAACTGTCCTTTCCTCCAAAAGAACATAAAACCTCCATTCTCCAACTTCAAGAGGAGGTGTTTCCCGACCAGCCACTCTAAATGATGCCTTGCCGACTTCTGATCCTGCACTTAAGACTCTTAGAAGCTGCCACTCTTGATCTCACAAGAAGAAAATGGACAAACTTCACACGAACAACCCTTCTTAGATCCAGGAGATCCTGGAGGTCACAAGGAAAGCTAGTGTCTCCACAATTAGGAAAGAGAAAAAAAGATGGCATTTTGAAATATGCCCCAAATATTCTGTTCTTAATAAGGCCTGTACTAAACAGAAAACCTATTTCACCAGAGTCTAATGCAAAGACACAAAGAACAAAAAAGAACCTAGTATTTATGAACCAGTTAAAACTAATCATAGCTGGCAAACTGTTCATTTAGGAAGCTCAGAGGACACTAAACTTGATAAAAAACAAGGGTATCACATTCAAACTACAGAAAATCAGAGACAAGAGAATATATTAGGAAATGACAGAGAAGAAACACATCTTAGGTATAAAGAAACAAAGATTTGAAGTAAATTGGACTTGTTTCCAAAAACCACACAAGCCAGAACAGAGTAGAGTGAAATATTTAGTTGTGAAAGTTAAAAAAACACTCTCCTGGAATTCTTTGTAAAGGATAATTATCCTTCAAAAATAAAGGAGAAATAAGGACTTCTTGAGACAAAAGTTGAGGAAATTTGTCACGATTATACCTACTTTGAATGAAATCCTCAAAAATTTAACAGAAAGACTGTAAATGATAAAAGTAGAGCATTATAAAAAGTAAAAATGAAGGTGAAATATCATTTACATTTCTTATAATTAATGTAATAAATGACACTTTAAAATAATATTAGCAACAATGTGTTTGGTAATGCAAAACTTATGGACAAATGAAATAAGTGACAGTACTGTGATGAGGGACAAGGAAGGGGAAATTGGGAATAGTGTGTTAAGAGCTACTTGCACAAATGAAGTGGTATAGTGTTATGTGGCAAAGGAGATGGCTTAGTTGTAAATGTATGCTGAAAACTGAAGGGCAACCACTACAAAATGTTTTTCAAAAAATGTGTAACTGACATGATAAGGAGAACAAAAGGATCTGAGTAAATGTTCAATATCAGCCAGAGAAGACAGAAGAAATGGTAGAAGACAAAAAGAAAAGAGCAACAAGGGTAGAAATGAAAAACAGGAAAAGGTTTGGTAAATATTTATCCAGCTGTATCAATAACCACTTTAATCCTCAATGGTCTCAATACAATTGAAAGACACAGTAATATCAGATATCAAAAAAGGGAATTATATGTTGTCTACAAGAAACCCACTTTACGTATAAAGACACAGATAGATGAAGGGTAAAGGGATGGAGAAAAGACCATGCCAACACTAATCAAAAGAAAGCTGCCATAGGTATATGAATTATAGACAATACAGAATTGAAACCAAGGAAAATTCAGAGATAGAGGGGGCATCAGACACTGATAAAGAGGTCTATGCTCCAAGAAGGCACAGCAGCAACCCTTCATGTGTACCTGTGTAACAAGAGAGGAGCAAAATATATGAGGCTAGAACTGAGAGAATGACAAGAGAAACAGATGAACCTAGCACTATCGCTGAAGAATTCAACACCTCTTATCATGAATTATAATCTCCATTAGGCAAGAAATAAGGAAGGATGGAGGTGAACTGACCAGCACTGTGAAACAAACGGATTTCTTTGTAATCTACAGAATACTTCATGCAACAGCAGAAAATATATTCATCTCAAGTTCAAATGGAACATTCACCAAGACCAACCACATTTTGGAACCCCCATGAGTCCTTCCTACAACTCGTACAGCCAGTGCAGATCACTGCATGACAGAGGCTATGGCAGAGCCATCAGGGACTGTTAGAGCAGGTGACAATCGATCTGGAATACTGCAGTAGCTAGAAGGGACATTCATGTAGGTGTCGTGCATCATCCCACCCACCTGCCCCAGCAGCTCGCCTGACTGGACAGTCCACAAGGCCCCACTCCCTTACGCCTTTGTGACAGTGGGTGGGTGGCTGCATGGTTCAGAGGAACCAGCCTATGCTGGTGGCTGAAACCTGACTCAACTGGCACCTTTGCATTTAAAGAGAACTTTTTCCCTGGAGACATTTTGAATCTCAACCACTATAATATCCAGATCTAAGGCAACTGATTCCTATTTTCACTGTTATAAGCAAATCAGTTAATCGCTATGTGAATGTTAGATGCACCTGGAAACTCTTCCCCCACCCCCAGCTTTATCAAGGGATAACTGAACAACACAATTGTCTGTATTTAAGGATTACAATATGATGATTTGATATAGGTATAAAGTGTGTACACTTGAAATTGGCTAAGAAAGCAGATTAAGCCTTCTCACCACATACACACACACAAAAGTGAATACCCAGGACCAGAATTGATAGGACATATGGTAATTTTAGAGGTTTTTTGCTTTTGTTTTTGTTTTTTGAGGAAGATTAGCCCTGAGCTAACATCTGCTGCCAATCTTCCTTTGTTTGCTGAGGAAGACTGGCCCTGAGATAACATCCGTGTCCATCTTCGTCTACTGTATATGTGGGACGCCTACCACAGCATGACGTGCCAAGTGGTGCCATGTCCGCACCCAGGATCCGAACCTGCAAACCCTAGGCCACCAAGCGGAATGTGTGCACTTAACCACTGTGCCACCAGGCCAGCCCAATTTTTTTTAGGTTTTATATCTGAGAACTTCCCAGACCTTTTTCCAAAGTAACTATACCATTTTATATTCTCACCACCCACGTATGAGAGTTCAAATTTCTAAATATATCCTCAACAAAACTTGTTATTATGTCAATTCCTGACTCTAGCCATGCTACTGATGGTGAAGTGGTATCTCACTGGGATTTTGATCTGCATTTGCTTGATGACTAACAATGTTCAGCATCTTTACATATGCTTTTGACCATTTCTCTACTTTTCTTGGAAAATAATGTATTCCGATCCTTTGCCATATTTAAACAGAGCTATTTGACTTTTTATAACTACGTTTTCAGAGGTCCTTAGGAATTTTTGATACAAGTTCTTTATCAGATAGACGATTTGCAAAATTTTCCTCCATTCTGTGGGTTGTGTTTTTACTCTCTTGCCTTAAAAATTTTATTTTTAATTGTGGTAATAAACCGAAAGCATAAAATTTACATTTTCACCATTTTGTAAGTGTATAGTTCGGTTGTAGCACGTCAGAATTTGCTTTCTTTTTAAAGCTGAATAATACACTATTGTATGTATATGCCCAAATTTTTCAATCCATTCGTCTGTCGACAGGTACTTGGGTTACTTCCACCTTTTGGCTATTATGAATAATGCTAATGTAAACACAAGGGGACAAATAGCTGTTTAAGTCCCTGCTTTCAATTCTACTTCAATTCTCAAAAGCAGAATTGCTAGTTCAGACGGTAATTCAGTTTGTACTTTCTGGAAGAATCGCCATGTTGTATTCCATACCATCAACGATTTCCAGCGATAGTCCACAAAGGTTCCAAAGGGTGTTTTCACTCTCTTGATGGTGTTCTTTGAAGCACAAAAGTGATTAATTTGATGAAGTCCAAATTACCTTTTTTTTTTTTTCCTGTTTTTGCTCTTGGTCTCTTATTTAAGAATCTTTGCCAAATCAAAGGTGATGAATTTTTCCCTATATTTTATCAAACTGTGTTATCATTTACTCTTATGTTTAGGTTTTTATCCTTTCTGGTAAATTATTGTATGTGGTGTCACGTAAGGATAAAACCTCTTTCTTTTGCATATGGCAACATTCCCAGGATATGACCCAAGAAACCTGGTGTCAATTCAAAGACAGAGGCCAGGAGCCCTCTCACTTTCTCACCAATTGTCAAATGACATGAGAGCAGACCTAGAGGGAGTTTTCTAACTTCTGACTAGGTACCAGTGGCCTATGTCCTCCTTCCCCATCCTTCCTCGTTTCCAAAGAAGGAACCCAAGGTGGTAGAAGCAAGTGTTGCACATGTAGCAATCAC